CTCCCAAGCAAGTCCAGGAGGTAAGGAGTCAGTAGCATTTGGTAGAGTAAGGCGAAAATGGCTTACAATTGGCTCTAGCTTGAAACCAGAAGAGAAGGCACAGGCTGGGCTCAACGGAGGTGAGGGAAACTCTGCTTGGAATGAGAACAAAGAAAAACCTGAAGAAGCAGTAGAGACAAAGGCTCAAGTGAGTTCAGATTGGGATTCTGAGAAGGATGCTACAAACTGGGACACTTGCAGACAGAACTTGATGTGTGGCAACAACTGTATGCTGCCAAAACAGAAATGGTTATGGATGTAAAGCAGTTTTGAAATCATGGTGACCTTGCAATAAACAATGACTAAAATGTACCTCAGCAGCAGACATCACCAGACAGAGAATGTGGGGAAGCAGCAAGTATTCCACCACTAACCTTGGGAAGAGGTGGTCTAAACAGTGCTGCAGCTGTCAACAGGGAAGGTTTTTGTGCAGAGAATGTGGGGAAGCAACTCCAACACCTCTGAGCAGGAAGTAGCTTAGTTCTTGCTGCAAAGCTGAGGTGCATTAGAGGAAGTTCTGTTAGAAAACTAGGTGTGTATTTTAAAGTATTTCTGTGCTAGTAACTATAATAAACAATAATCCTTAGCTTTCATCATTAAGCACTAAACTTTAAAGGAAATGCAGAGCCAAAGGAACAAATTTATTTAAAAAAAAAAAAAGGTGCTCAGAGTACACAATGGCATGGGAGCACGGAGCAGCCTCTCTAGATGACTCGCTCAAAGCACTGGCACACGCAGGCTTCCTCTTTGTACCGCCACCCTTCCCCAAACTCTCATCCTTTTTCCCATGTCAATTCTGCACGTTGCTTCAAAAAACCAGTGAGTGTAGAAGGGGAAAGCCCACGAAGGGTACACTCAGCTTAAATCCCTTTTCAGAAAAGTCAGATTCCTAGATTGCTATAGCCCCTGACATGCTAACAGGACTGCAAATAATGACTGGCCAGCATCTCTCTATAGGACATTGGCTTTGTAATAGTTCTGTGTAGCAAGGGGCTGCATAGCTAGGGTAGATGATTCCCTGTACAGCATCACTCTGTCAGGGGTAGGTGCTTTAGAGCAGTTTTCACTCTAGTAAATAGTAAATCTAATTCATGCCAGTAATAAAAAAAGGAAGGCTTAGTTTTTACAGGAACATCAAACCCCTACTGAACAGAGAAGAGGGGGGAGAGAGAGAAATTTCATTACCAGAGAAGGCAAAATCCTGTAAAGAAACCAAGGAAACCCATTACAACATAGGTATTAGGGACAAAATAATTCACAATATATTCCCATGTCATTGTGACAAAATGTATTTGTATCACTAAGTACACAAAGAAAATGGTGTAGCCAACAGGATAGGTAAAAATCGACTACAATGAATAATACCTAACATTTGACATAGCAGTGCTATTTCCATGTCCTGGTTATTAGACCCAGAGTAAAAGTGGTTTATTGATCTGTTTACAACAGTCTAAACACTGGGATTAAAACTGCTGCTTTGTTCTGACATATAAGAAACAGCTATGGAAGCACTTAGTCCACTGCCTGGGAAGCACTCAGCAGTGAAAGTCCCAAGTGCACTGTTTGACCCTTCCCTCCCCTCTTGTTACAGACTGAATTGAGGTCCCAAAGAGCTATGCTGAAGTCCTAACTGCTGTATTTGTGCCCCTCGCCTTGTTTTGGGAAACAGGGTCTTTATTTGACGATATTAGCAGTTAAATGAGACCAGAGTAGGGTGGTCCTAACGTTGATCCCTTTAAGCGATAAAGAAGAGGATGGGCATGGGGACAAGGTCATGGTGGTGGTGGTGGTGGGGGTGTACTGATATACATGAGTATCTATCTCCAAGTCAAGAAATAACAAAAGATACCAGGGACATCGAAGCTGGCAGAAACAAGAAAAGATCTTTCCCCAGAGCAGGCAGAGCAAGCACGGCCCTACTGATGCTTGGAATTAGAACTTGCATCTTCCAGACCTTCAAGAAAATAAATTTCTGTTCTTTAAAGTCACCCACTTTGTGGTATTTTGTTATGGCAGTCTTAAGAAACTAACATATCCCTCAAATATATATATATATATATAT